ATTCATTATTTTATAAATTCAGATATACATTAAGTCAAGATGAGTTAAGAAACATAGTTCATTTCTTGACTGTCAATACTAACTTCCTTGGCCTATTTAAATAAATATTTTAATGAAAAGTCAAGCTTCTTATTACTTTTAATCCACTTCAGAATTAGTAAATCTAAAGTTGTCTTCAGAAGGAAAAACTGTTGTGTTCAGAAGAAAAGATTCTGGTAAGACAAGGCATAAACAAAGGTATCCCAGTTCTATCATCCCCTTGAAAATATGCAATGTATTACTCATCCTCAATCAAGCAAAAGGCATTCCCACATTCTAATGTAATAAAAAGTAAAAAGCCAGGTTCTTTGTTTGTTTTAAATCTCGGTGGTCTAACTTGAAGCCAGAACAACCCCATTTTACTGTTTCAGGATGGCTCACCTGGAAATGTCCAGATCCTTGAACAGAAAATACCAAGTAAACCATGCTGCTTTCCCAAAAGGCTCGATTTAGCTTCCGCTCATTACTAGGGGTTGTAGACCAGATGCCCTTCTGCTGAGAAATTTCAAGGTTTCTCAAATTGCTACTCTTCATTATGAAGTATCGAATAGGCATGTTTGGTCTTGGTGAAGGAGATTTTGAGCCCTATAAAAGAATGCATAAGTTCTTGAAAGGTAATTTGACCTTTCAAAACCAATATGCTCCATTATATAACATCTTCATAAACACATAAACCAAAATGTTTTACCAAATATTCAATAAATGCAAATAGCTCTATCATGCCTGAAAATCTATGCAAGGCTCAACCAAAATGAGGTTAAAGAGCCAAAAAGTACTCATTTTCTGAGCATTCAAAACTTCTTATCAAGAAAGGATCCTGGAATACCAACTTTGATTTATACTTCAAATATACTTTCAGAAAGTATTTTAATAAATCTTCAAAATCTAAAAACAAAACAAAAATCACTCCAACTTACTGCCTGGAAGCAGTTTCCAAGTGACAAAGAAAAACACAGAGTCCAGTAGTCTCACTGAATTGTGAAGACAGAGATTGGAATTTAGAGACCAAGGCAGCTAGAATTTGCATGGCAATGTACTAGACTAGAAGGGAGTTGCACAGAAAGCAGCAGAGAAACTGCAGAGTGGTCCCCTACCAGGTTTTGGCTAAGTACTATCCCGAACATGAGTGAGAAAAAAAAATAATCCGAGGCTAAGGAAAAGATTCAAAGGAAAGCAGTAGATCAAACAATTATCAGATCTCAGACATGGCTGGGAATATTTCATGTTATCCTCAGACAGAACAGAGAGACCTTGTAGTTCATAGGGCACTGGCCTACAGAAGGGTCAAACCTTAGTACTGGAACTAAATTAAAACCAGAATAAAGACTGCTCTGGACCCACCCTAACACTACTTAAATGCAAACCTCAAAAGGATTAATCAAACTGATTATCAGAACTTGAGTATCAGAACAAAATCTAATACTATTTAAAGGAATACAACAAAAACATGGCAGCCAAACAAAGTTACAAGAAATGCAAAGAAACAGGAGAACATGACCCATAACCAGGAAAAGAAGTAATCCACAGAAAAAGATTCCAATCTGATAGAAATGATGTAATTAGTAGACAAAAATATTAAAGCATCTATTACAAATATATTCACTATGTTCAAGAAGGTAGAGGAAAACATGAACATAGTGAGGGGACAAATGAAAGATATTTTTAAAAGACCCAAAAGGAACTTCTAGAGATGAAAATATAATATTTGAAAATACATTAGAAGGCATGAACAGCAGATTAGACACTAAAAATAAAAAAAACACCAGTGGACATAAAGACATAACAATAGAAATTATCCAAATTGAAGCAAAGACAGAAAAACAACTAAAAAAATGAAAAGAGCATCAGTGACCTGTGGAATGATATCCAGCGGTCTTACATTTGCGGATCCAGAGTCCCAGAAAGGACGGTCTTCAGGCAGAAATAAACGATATAAGATGGACATTCATATCAACACAAAAGAATAAAGAGCACAGGACTGGTAAATATGTCAACAAATATAAAAGACATCTTTCTGACTTTTAAATCTTGGTAAAAGATAATGATGTAATATAAAAATAATACATTGTAGCATTTATATAGAAATAAAATATATGAAAAAAAAGGACTGAAGTGTAAAAGAACACTGTTGCACAGTTCTCAAAACTACACCTGAAGTGGCATAATACTGATTGAAGATACACTAGCATAAGTTAAAAATGGCTTCACCAGTGAATTCTATCAAAGATTTACAGAAGAAAAAATACCAAGTCTATAGATCTCTTCCTAAAATACTGAAGTGAAAGGAACACTTCCCAACTAATTTTAAGAGGCTAGCATTACCCTGATACCAAAATCATACAAACACAAGAGAATTATGGAATAATATCCCTCGTGAACAAAGGTCCCTCATTTAACAGTATTTCTGATTTAACAAAATCAAATCCAGCAATATGTAAAAAGGATAACATTGTGACCAAGTAATATATAAACATTTTTAAAAATCCATCAATGAAATGAACCATATTAACAGACAAAAAAAAATGCCTTCCTCCTTGGAGCAAGGAAAAGATGTCTGCTCTCAACACTTTTATTCAACATTTTACTCGAGACTTAGGCTAGAGAGATAAGGAAAAAATAAACAAATAGCAATGAGAACGAAAAGGAAAAAAGAAAAACTACTTTAACAGATGGCATGATTATCTTTGTAGAAAATCCTAAGAAATCTACATAAAAAGCTTATAGAATTAGTAAGTAAAGTAAGGTCATGGATACAGAGCAAATGTGCAAAAATCAAACATTTCTATATACTAGCAATGGACACCTGGAAATAGAAATTTTAAAAACCAATAGTATCAATATTAAATACTTAGGGATAAATTTTTTAAAAAATGTATAATGCCTGTACTGTGAGATTTACACAAAACATTGTTGAGGGAAATTAAAATCCGACAGAAACAGATACACCATGGGCAGATACACCATGCTTATGGATTGGCAGACTAAAAATTGTTAACTATCGGTTTTCTTCAAATTAATCTATAGATTCAATGCAATCCCACTTGAAATACCAAAATTTTTTCTGTAGAAATTAAAAAGCTGACTCTAAAGTTTATGTGAAAGCACAAAGGACCTAGAATAGCCAAAAAATTTTGAAAAAGATGAACAAAGTTGGAGGACAAACATTAACTGATTTTAAGACTTACTATGAAGCTACTAAAATCAAGTCAGTGTGTCACTGGTAAAAAAAAAATACCGATCAATTAAACTGAGTCCAATGAATAGACCTCATATTTATGGTCAAGCGATTTTTGACAGAGGTGCTAAAGTAATTCAATGGGAAAAAAAAAAAAGTTTTTCAACAAATGGTACTCGAACAATTGTACAGGCAAAAGCCAAAATATGATCCATGGTTCACCATACTATTAACAAAAATTAACTTGAAATACATCATATACCTTATACCTAAATGTAAAAGCTCCAACTATAAAACTTTTAAAAGAAAACAAATGAGAAAATCTTCGTCATCTTGAGTTTGGCAAAAATTTCTTAGGACACAAAAAATATGAATCATAATAGAAAAAACTGATGAAATAGAACAAAATTAAAAACACTTGCTCCTTAAAAGACACTGTTAAGAAAATAAAAAAACAAGCCACAGGTTGTTACAAAAAATTTGCAAAACATATATAATTAAGCCTTGTACCCAGACTATATAGAAAACTCTTACAATTCAATAAAAAAAGACAACAAAAAAATGAACAAAAATTTGAACAGACATTTCATCAAAGACCACACACGGATGGCAAATAAGCACATGAAGAGATGCTCAACATCATTAGTCACTAGGGAAATACAAATTAAAACTACAGTGGGTTATCAGCATACGCCCATTAGAATGCTAAAATTATCAAGAATAATAATGCCAAATACTGTCAAGAATATGAAGCAAATGGAACTTTTATAGATTGTTGAAGGAAAGGCAAAATAGTACAGCAAACAGCTGGGTAGTTTCTTATAAAGTTAAACTTATGATTATCGTACGACTCAACAATCCTACTCCTAGGTATTTGCCCAAGAATAGAAAACATATTTACACACATAGACTTGTACTAGAATGTTACAGCAGCTTTATTGGTAAGGCAAAAAATGGAAACAATCCCAATGTCCATCAACTGGTGAATAGATAAGCAAATTGTCATATATTTACACAATGGAATACCACTCAGCAATAAAAACAAACTAATAATACACTCAATAATATGAGTGAATTTTAAAGTATTATATTAAGTGAAATAAGCCAGATATAAAGAGGTTACATACATATGATTCTATTTAACACAAATTCTAGAAAAAGCAACTCTAAGGAACAGAAAGCAGATCAGTGGTTACCAGGGGCTGGGGGTGATGAAAATGTTTTGTACATGACTATGGTACAGTTACATAACTGTATACATTTGTCAAAATTCACTAAATTATACAGTTTAAATTGGTAGATTTTTATTGTGTATAAATTATACCTTAATAAAAGTGTTTAAAATAGAAACCCAAAATGCCCAAAACCTAAGAATGCAAATCTATAAAAACCTTCCTTTTCTTATTTAACAAGAAGACTTCAGCAGACATATCCGCCAAAGCACAACAGGTAGCTAAATAACCTCTAATTAAATACTTACTCAGCTACTAACAATGCAGAAAATGTGGAAGTCCTCACATTCTGAACATTTGAAGTCATTCACATTACAAATTTTTTAAAAGACACATAGTTGTCAGTTCTATTATCAACATTTGCTACTTCTGTACCCCCATCTTGTCTTATGTTTTTTAAATATAAACTTTGAATTGCAGAAATCAATAATTGAAAGTAACCATTGTTTTCAACTATGAAATTATAAACCTATATTAAGTTAAATTAAGACAATATTTTCATTATTTCTTTGAACAAAAAAGGTTCTAAAGAAAAAGAAAGGAAATAATGAATTGCCTCAACACTATTAGTGAATAATGCTAGTTTAAAACACCCCAAGACATTAATAACTAAAATTTTTGGCAAGAAAAACTTAAAACTTTACTCAAAGTATCTAAAGTTTTCCAGTTTCAACTTATATCTAGAACAGAGGCCACAATTAGAAAAGTAGAATTGTTTTATAATTTTGTTTAAATATATAACATTATTAGATGTGCTGCAAATCTGTTCCTTACTACATCTACTTTCAGACACTCTACCTTTCCTGAGGATGGAGGAGAAGGACTAGCACAAGGACTTGGGTAACTACTGCTGTCTGTAGATTTCACAGAAGATTGATCTGATCGGTCATCAGTGCTTCGTTTAGGATGTAAAATTCCTCTATCTTTGTACTTTTGAGGTGGGTGTAATGCCGGAGATGGAGATTTCATCAATACTCTTGAGCAAAAAAAGCAGCAGCAAAGATCAGTTATATGTAAGTTTATAAAACAAAGAAGATGCCATTTCAATCCAAAGTCCCAATAACATTATGATTTATGGAATAGTATTTTAAAATACTAGAGTCAGCAGATACAGATTTCTACAACAGTACTAAATTTACAACTAACCAGGTATGTGATCCTAAGTCTCTTAACTTATCTAAGCTTTAATTTCTTTATCTGTTAAATAAAAGTACTAGATTAGATAAACTCTAAGACTCTTCTAAAATTCTATGAATAAATGCTACAAACTTGGCAGTTGGGAATATTATAATTTTTTAAGACTATGGGTCTTTGTGGGACAACCAGACATTAAGCAATATAAAGTTCACAACACCAACATTGAATCTAATCAATCCCTAAGAGCTAACTACCAGTTTACATGAAATACGTAAGGTATAGGAATAAATGGTGCCAGGAAAAAAACAAAGAGACAAATCCAGAATGTGAGACATCTTACAGTACCACTGACCTAGTTTCTTCAAAAAAGTACATAGAGGAACTATGCTAGATCACAAGAGACTTGAGAAACATGACATTCTAATATAATACATGAGTCTTGTATGCTTATTCAAACAAATAAATAATTTGAGACAACTGAGAAAATAATTTTATTGGGATTGGTCACCACTCTGGTTATGTAGGAAAAATGCTCCTATTTTTAACAGATGTATATTTAAATATGGAAGGGTAAAATGACATGATGTGTGGGATTTACTTTGAAATATGTAAATAAAAAAAAAAAGCAAGCAAGAAAGAAAAAAGAAAATTTTCATGGATAAATCAAGTAAGTGAAAATCTTGGTAACTGTTGAATCTGGGCTATGGAGTTCATTATTGTATATCATTTACTTTTGTTGTAAGTATTACAACAATACTTATAATAAAGAAATTTAAAAAAAAAAGTGTAGGTCTTCAATAATTCATAAGTTTCCACAGAGTCTTACTATGTTCAAGACAATAAAGTAGCTTAGCCCCACAATTTGCTTCTGTATCAATAAGTATCTTAGATCGAGGATTCTTTTTTTTTTTTTTT